CATTTCATTACCAAGGTAGTTCTCGCAGTCAAGTATAGAGTTGTTAAGCTTAATTGAGCTTAATGCCGTATGGTTTTAAAATTGTTTAGACCTATTACTGCTATTAAAATCGCATTATGAAATAAAGTACCAAGGAGCTAGGAGTTGTTTTAGGATACAAAACTTGCGAGACATTACTTTTAATTGCAGTGCTGTCACTAGTCCCATTACGAAAAAGGGCTTAAACTGATTACTGACTCTTCTGTTTTATAGAAAGGTGTAAGATTTAAACGAAATTAAATACTCAGCTCATAGCTACCAAGCGAGACATAAGCTCCTATTTATAGTGTTCGGTAGACCAACTATACTGCGTGCATACAAGCGAAGAAAAGAACGACACTTACCTTTTAAACAGTTTCGTCGTTAAGTCTAGACTGCAACAAACTTAAGGGAGGAAATTATTGTAAACGAAAGATGAATTACTTCGTACAAAAAGAAAAAACAGCTTTTTCTCTTCACCTCGACTTTTTTTTTATTGTTTAAGAGCAGTTGTCTGTAAGATTCGAGCTATATTGAAAAGTCGCTGCCACACTATCCCACCGAATTGGCTAAAAATTGACAAGTAGACTTTATTTGGGGTCTTTAATAAGGAATAGGTAACTTTAGGTTCTAATTCCTCCTTTTTCGGAAATTATCGACATGGCCGGTTTTTGGGTGCCTCGGACCGGCGCCATATTGGTTAATAGAAGCTGCTTTTGAGCCTTCGACTACAACCCTGTCATCAAAGCTAATCTTCCTTTGCCTAAACACATTGAAAGAACAATCCCTCTTTATTGTATTTTTAGAAACTACTTGGAAATTGATAACGTTTTCGCAACGATCGATTATACTTTTGGGGGTATACTTTTTGAATTTTTTACACCCGCAAAATTAACAGCATTTTAAAGGCGTATATCTCTTTTGCCACATCGCATTGAAGCTTGCCACTCTGCCTAAATACTCATTGTTTGTAGTTAAATCGAGTTCGTTAATAAAAAAATTGGGCAAATTTAACGGAGCAGAAACAAAAGTAATGAATGGAAGAGTGTTCTAGTGACTTTGTCAATAATCTTTACATAGAATACTCGCCAAGTGTTGCCAAAATTACAATCGATAATAGAGTTTCTGTACTTAAATCTGAGTGATCTGTGTAATAAAATTAGCCTCTGTAATAGAATCGATAACTCTGCTGCGAAAAACAGTACAAAAAAGGGTAGATTGTATAAGGAAAAGGAAAATGAATTTGTTATGTTTACGTATGATACGACGTGTAAACAAAATGCAACCACAGTCGAAGTGGAATTTTCCTAATTTTCCTCCAGTTTCTTTATCGAAACCAGAGCTTTTAAAATTAACCATAGTAATGAAAATTGAGATGTATTACCTTACTCGACGACAAAGATGCCAGTTTTCACCTTGATCGAAAAAAAGTAATATTTTCCCAGGCTTATCGCGGGTCGTCACGTTCCTTGCGTGGCGTTACAACTCACGTGAAACGGCCTGGTTCCAAACAACTGAACTGAAGAATCCGTGAAAATCTTAGCCAGGCAATAAATAATGGAAGTTGATATAAGTTGTCATTATTAGTAAGCGAGGATGCGATGATAGTTACAGTTACATGTATTTACAGCGTTTAAAGATTCACTCAAAGCTCACGAGACATGAGCCATTGAAACAAACATCATTAGTCCCGGGCGTTTGGCGCTGGGCGTTGGCAAAGTAATAATACTCATTCTACCTTGTACACCATTAACACCGGTTCCGTGCACAATTTTCAGGTATTTTGTCTCTATCATGGAGCCCGTTTTGAGGAGATTCTTTGTCTTTCCATAAAGGGTTTTTTGATAAACAGAAAAATTTGTTTGGAATGGGTTAAGAAGAATGAGTGATGAGCCCAGGACTACAAAAACCACAGTCACCCCACAGAAGGGCTTTAAAACTGTGCGCAAATGCCTCACCCTATAGAAACAATTCCAGATTTTCGTTTCCTTGAAAAAGCTTAAAAATGGACAACTCAAGACATTCCTAATTCAAAATAAAGTAAACAGCAAAGAAAATTCAGTTAGCGACCACAGTGTTTATCCGATATCGCGAACAATAAGGAGTGATTGAAGATGTGGCTGCAGTTTAATGTAAAATCATTTACCATGCTCACAGACCTTTCGACAACATAAGTGTACCGATTGACGTAACATCGTGGTAAAAAATGAACGCTTTTTACTGTTGGACGATGACGTCATCATATAAAAGGGGTCTTCACTCTGGCATCCTGAATTTCAAACTGTCTAAACCTAATTTTCTCTGCTCGTCAAGAACGCCTCTGAGGACAAGTAGTGGTAATGTGCTTGTTAGTAAGACGTCCAACAAAAGAAAACGTTCATAATCAACTTGCTTAATGCATTGATAAAGGGAAACTTTCTCCTTTACCCTTAGGGACAGAGTTCAAAAGCGTAAAAGATTTTTATTTCAGCTCTAGTATGCGCTGTCTAGCGATTTTCCTTGAACTTCTCTAAATTTTCCAGATCAAACAAGCTGTGCCCATCGTAGACTAGACTGCAAAACAGTCAGTATTTTTGCGTATTCAACTACGCGCTAACAGTCAAACAAAAGGTCGGAGTCTCGCTCTCTGTTTTCAGCCTCGGACCTTTTGTTTGACTGCTAACGCGTAGATGAATACGCAAAAATACGGACTGTTTTGCAGTCTATGCCCATCGTACATAATCTTGTCTGGGCTCCCTTGAAAAATTGCACTTCATTAGAAGAGAAAAGGGAAGCTTTGCCTTCCCCACTCCGTTTAAAAAATGTCGTTCGGCTGTTCAAACTACTTTTAGAAAACAACAAACTTCCCAACTTTAATTTTTATTAAAGGTATAGGGGTAGGAATCCAAATTTTTTTCAAATGTTCTTCAAAATGTACGCCATGCAAATGGAGTATTTCACTGATTTTAACACAATGATTGTGCAGTAGTGTCTAGTGAGTACGGGGGCTAATGCTCCATCACAAAAATCTTGTATAACTGAGTAGTACACATTTTTAGTTATTTTATTGAGTTGTGAAAAATCATAAATTTGTTTCTTCTTGAATGTGTTATACTCTCATCCATTGAGTGTGTTCAGTCTTTCCGATATGCCCGTCGGATAGCGGAAGTTAACGTAAATGATCGATTACCTGAAAAGAAGCTACGATCCTAACTTTCCACCTTCGGGTCTTTTCCCTAGCCATAATTTTTTCCCTCAAGGAATTATTCTCTGTTTTACATGATAACTGGTCTTGCATTCTTATCGATTTTGCGAACCTAGTCCTGTGCCGTATTCTGATGCGATCTACGTTATGTAGCTTTCCCCCCATCTAACAGCTCCTTACTGAACCAAAACGGTGTTAATTGAGTCTATTCAAAGAACTAGCCAATATTTTTCCAACGGTACGCACGATGTTCCTAATTCCCCCTACTCCCCGTCTTAGAAGCTTTCATGTGCATTGGTTAAATTTTCTTTTCATAAGCTACAATACTCATAATCGCGCATGCTGATTTCATTTATGCTTAAAAAATTAAAAATCAGTTTATCGAAGAAAGAGTGAATAAAAAGTGTCATGAGGCGTTTGTGCTTTTATGAACTATTTAACGCGGTCCTTTTCTTACGGCTTATGTCCGTTGGTGAAAATGCTAATTGGGTTTTCTTGGATTGAGAAGGGCGGACTCTTTCTAAACGTGGCGTTGTTTATGGGACCTCAGTATTCAGAACAGAATCAGTCGATGGCAAACAACGAAAAGGCTTTTATGTGGTAAGTTACAGTGATGAACCTTGCCTCGAGATGGTCATATTTTTGTACATACCTTCAGTGTTGGTCTGAAAATTTTTTGTTATGGATGAGGGGGGAGGTGGGGGGGGGGAAGAGATCAGAACATGTACCTCGTGT